TATATATATCTTCCAACACAAAACACTGCAGCCCAAACTGTAAAGAAAAAAGCCAAAAAAAACTTCAGACACATACACCAATAAGGGGTGCTAATATTAAGGTTTTTTGCATGTGGTATTTCGTCTTCTAAACCGTAAGTCACAAACGTTTTTGGCACATAGCAACACAATCCCTGGAAGTAACGATTTTTGTCATTTTTAAGAGTTTATTTCTCCCAAAATCCTAAAATGTGACAATTATATTTTTGGCAATCCACCAGATTATAGTACCTTTTAACTCCAATCTAGTAAGATTGTTTTTGTCATATTAAGGTATTTATTTCCTCCACGTTCTAAAAAGTATATTGTCACAGGGTTACTTTTACTATAACTGGAATGAATTCATCATTTTACTGTATTTTTTGGATGAAGACCAACTTAATCTGATCTCTTTAAGGACAACCTGAAGCAGCACAGCATGAACAGTTCAACACCAGTATTCTGAACAGTGGCTGAACTATGAGGTTTATCTTTTGGGAGGCTGGATTCTTTGGACTCATTCTTCAGATATTGACACAAGTCATACAACATTCATGACTTCAGATACACGCCATCTAAACTCACTTATTCCTCTGGATAATAAATGTGCTCTTGCTTGTAGAGGTTTTTTATAAGCACTATAGTGAGTCACATTTTGTTGATATAATATGATGTTTGTTTTGTTTTTCCTCATCTGCCCGTGTGTTTTTTACGGTTTTCTTTTTAAAGGTAGTGTGACCCCTGCTGGTTGCTGCATGACCTGATCACCTGTTCTCTCATGTTTGTCATGTGTGTCTTCTTGAATGGGTGTGCTTATATGTCCTCTTTCTAAAACTACATTCATATTTAATAAAAAAATTGACATCACAGGCACTTTAAGACCTGCAGTGTAAATGAAGCCTTAGATTCTAAAGATGTGGTGAGAGCAGCTGCATAGGGGGGCCCAATTAGATTTTTTTGTCATGGGGCCCAATATTCTTGGTGGTGGCCATGTATGCACAGTTCAGAGTTTCCAGGATGTCAAACGTATGTGTAGATTCACTATGTCAGAATAAAATGTCATATTAGACCATTGGTGAACATTTAGAAACAAGTGTTTGTTGAAATTGAAAGGTTTTCACAAACTTATTCTATGATTAGCTTGAACTTTAATCCTTTTTTTAAACAGTTTGATGTCAAATTAGAGAAATTAATGCATTGATTAAATATGTCTTTATGCCCAGTGTGTCATGTGTTAAACCTGTCGGTCTCACGTCAGTCCTTCAGATTAGTCACCTTCAGTTAGTAATCACTGCCCAACCAGTCATCATTTCCATTGTCTTCAAAATCCCTTTCCCTGTCTGACGACTCTTTGACTTCACTATAGGTAGTCTCCTCTAGTTTGTCTATCAGTGCTATAAGAGGAGAACAGCTTGACACAGACGCCTCCAGCCCTGTAGAAAGATGGAGGTTTTTTTCTTCACAAAGATGGCTTCTTTTACTCCTCTCTCAAACCAACGTTCCTCTATCAAGGATGAGAACATCTTCATCCCTGAAAGAGTGACCGCTGGCCTGTAAATGAGTGTAAACTGCAGTGTCCCAACCTGTACATGAGTGTAAACTGCAGAGTCCTGGCCTGTACATGAGTGTAAACTGCAGAGTCCTGGCCT